GGACTGACTTCCGTGTGCAGTCATGATTACAACCCACTGCCTCAATGATAGTCTGTTTCATTTAACTTTTTCATGGTACTGAGCGCTTAGAAGCAAAGTAAAACAATAGCTCTGTGAGTATGCGTGTGTGTGCATGCACTATAGTCTTGTGTGTATGTGTGTGCATGCAGGCTCGCACAGGCACATCTGAAGTTCATGGAGGTCAGAGATCACAGCTTCTAGGAGTGGGCTCCTTTCTTCCTTCTTCCACCACGTGTTCTGGGGACTTGTGACAAGCACTGTTCCTGAAGAGCCAGCTTATTAATTCCTGGTTCTGGAAGGAAATCCTTGGGGACATCCCCCGCACCTTGTGACATCACCACCTAAGGTGGAAGGCTCACAGAGGCTGCTGTCTGGTGTGTCATTAGTCATCACTGTCCAGAGTAGGGGTCCTTTGTTCCCCGGAGTCTGACCCTGTGTGGGCTTGCACTTCTCTCCAGGAGTTCATTGAAGAGTTGCTGACTCCCCCCTTCGGGGGTCTGGTGGCATTTGTGAAGGAGGCTGAAGCCTTGATCAAGCGAGGGCAGGCTGAGCGGCTACCAGGGGAGGAAGGTATGCAGTGTTGTCATGACTAGTAAGGGACAACGGGAGTTAGGGACAGTGGTGATGTGCGCGTCACAGTGTCAAGTGGCAGCACAGCAGGGAGGACTTGGCTGGTAGAACACCAGGAAAGTCAGACTTGATGGTAAGCATGGCTGTGCCTTGGGCATGTCTTGCTGGGCACCAGCCCTGGTTGCTCTGTGCCGGGTGCATGATCACCAGGCCTGGTTGCTCTCTGCCGGGTGGACACTGGACACTCACCAGCCCTGGTTGCTCTCTGTCACACCCTTTCCTCTGCCATCAGCCCGAGTCACTCAGCTGATCCGTGGCTTTGGTAGTTCCTGGAAGGCATCAGTGGAGTCCCTGAGTCAGGACGTAATTCAGAGTTTTACCAACTTTCAAAATGGAACCAGCATCATCCAGGTGACTGGCCACTCCCAGCCCTTTGCCTGTGTCCCATGGTTGTCTGTTTCCTTGCTCTTTCCTCTGGGCTCTGCATCACACGAATGTCCTGAAGGCCGACAAGCACTGTGCCTGAGACTCTGGTTAAACTCTGACAGGCCCAGTCACCACAAGTCTGACCCTGAGTCTCCTATGTGCAGGGGGCGCTGACCCAGCTCATCCAGCTGTACCACTGCTTCCACCAGGTGCTGTCCCAGCCCCAGCTCCACGCTCTCCCTGCCAGGGCCGAGCTCATCAACATCCACCACCTCATGGTGGAGCTGAAGAAACACAAGCTGAACTTCTGACTCAGATCCACCGGGCCCTAAGCTACCATGGACTGTGTAGGTCACACACTGTCACCTGGGACCCCTTTCCCATACCAAGGCTTCCATACATCTCACTCTCTCACTCAGCTTTCATTGCCAGGCCTCTGCCTCAACAGAGTGTGCCCAAGGCCACTCCCTGGGCTTCTGAGGTGACCTTCA